CAAGCCCTCTAGCTCCCTTCTGTATTTTGAATCGTCATCGCTAGATATCTGTCCCCCTGCAGTGGTGTTGTCAGCTAACTTGTAGCTGGCGTTCGTTCAGTATTTGGCAACAGAGTCATGGGTACACAGAGAGTGCAGTTGGGGGCAGAGGACACATCCTTGGGGGGGTCCAGTGTTGAGTGTTATTGTGGAGGACGTGCAGTTACCTGTTGATTGCAGCCTAATTCCAGATATTTATTGGTTTTGGTGTACGTTTTGTGAGGACTCCATCAGGATTGCACTATAAACATCAATATGGATGGTGTGCAAGAGTCCTAGATAATAAGACCAGTAGACCTTGAGATGTAGAAGGAGAAGTAAGTCATGAGCCTCACTGAGTCTGCTCCACCTTCAATGATATCATGGCTGATCTGATGATCCTGAACTCTGCTTTCTTGCCTTCTCCCTTCAACCCTTGATTCTCCTACTGATAAAATATGCCCATCTCAGCCTTGATCATACTTAACCATTCAACCTCTACAGCCCTCTGCAGTAAGAGATTAATGTGCAAGATTAAAGCACATGGGATTGGGGAAAGTGTATTAAGATGGATAGGAAACTGGTTAGCAGAGAGGAAACAAAAGAGTAGGAATTAATGGGTCCTTTACAAATTGGCAAGCAGTAACTAGTGGGGTGCCACAGGTATCGGTGCTGGGACCCCAGCTATTCGCAATACATATGAATGATTTGGATGAGGGAACAAAATGTATCATCTCAAAGTTTGCAGATGATACCAAGTTGGGTGGGACGGTGAACTGTGACGAGGAAGCAGCGATCCTTCAGCACGATCTTGACAGGTTGGGTGAGCGGGCAAATCAATGGCAGATGCAGTATAATTTGGATAAATGTGGTTATTCACTTTGGAAGCAAAAACAAGGAGGCAGATTACTACCTGAATGGCTGTAAGTTGGGAGAGGGGAGTGTGCAGTGGGACCTGGGTGTCCTTGCGCACCAGTCGCTGAAGGTAAGCATGCAGGTGCAGCAGGTAGTAAAGAAGGCAAATGGTACGTTGGCCTTCATTGCAAGAAGTTTCGAGTACAGGAGCAGGGATGTGTTGTTGCAGGTATACAGGGCCTTGGTGAGGCCACATCTAGAATATTGTGTGTAGTTTTGGTCTCCTTTTCTGAGGAAGGATGCTCTTGCTCTCAAGGGAGTGCAGCAAAGGTTTACCAGGTTGTTTCCGGGGATGGCGGGTCTGACGTATGAGGAGAGATTGACTAGGTTGGGATTGTTTTCACTAGAGTTCAGACGAATGAGGGGGATCTCATACAGACTTATAAAATTCTAACAGGACTGGGCAGGGTAGATGCAGGGAGAACGTTCCTGATGGTGGGTCTGTCCAGAACCAGGGGTCACAGTACGAGGATTCGGGGTAGACCATTTCGGACAGAGAGGAGGAGACATTTCTTTGCCCAAAGAGCGGCGAGTCTGTGGAATTCATAATCACAGGAAGTAATTGATGTCAAAACACTGAATGTATTCAACAGGCAACTAGATCTGGCACTTGGGGCAAATGAGATCAAAGGTTATGGGGAGAAAGCAGGATTAGGCTATTGAGTTGGATGATCAGCCATGATCGTGATGAATGGCGGAGCAAGCTCGAAGGGCTGAATGGCTGCCCTGCTCCTATCTTTTATGTTTGTATGTTAACGATTCCACAGATTCACAACCCTCAAAGAAATGACTCTTCTTCAGAGTCTTAAGAGGGCAACCCCATTACTCAGATTAAGCCCTTCAATCCTACACTTTCCCACAAGGGGGCACAACCTGGCAACAACTACCCTGTCAAGACACCCAAAAATTATACATTCCAGTAAAATCCCTTTACTTCTAAACTCCAACAAATACTAGCCCAAAGTACTCAACTTCTCCTCAAATAAAATCCCTTCATACCCGAGATCAAACTTTTCTCTGGACTGCCTTCAATTTCCGTAGGTCTTTCGGTAGATAAGGGATCCAAAACTGTTCACAGCATTCCAGCTATGGTCTGACTAGTGCCTTGAATAAGACTTGCCTATTTTTATGCTTCATTCCCTTTGAATGAAAGGTCAATCCCCCCCTTTACGTCCCTGTTACCCACTGAATCTGGATGCTAACTTTTTGTAATTCATGCACTAGAACACTTAAATCCCTCTGCGCTGTAGCTTTCTGCAGTTTGTCCCCATTTAAATAATATTCAGCTCCTCTATTCGTTCTGCCAGTGCCAAACCTCACATTTTTCCCCAAATTAAATTTCATCTGCCAAATTTGGGCTCACTCATTTAACCTGTCTACATCCCTGTGGGGACTCTTTGTGGCCATCCTCATTACTTGTCTTCCCATCTATTTGAGTATCATCTGCCAACCTAGTTTAGTATATTCACTTCCAAGTCATTAACATATATTGTAAATAATTGTGGTCCTAGCACATATCACTGGGGACACTCCACTAGTTACAGGTTGCCATCTTGAAAGTGCCTATTTCATCCAAAATCTGTCTTCTAGTTAGCCAATCCTCTACGTGCATTAACATGCCATCCCAATTACTCCTTAAGTCACCTTTATGGGCAGCATCTTATCAAACAACTTTTGGAAATTGGCAGTTTGACAACCCTCTGGGACTCTTCCTGAATCAAAGGATTCTTAGAAGATTATTGCCAGTGCATCCCCTCACAGTATGGCTACTTCCTTTAAAATCCTACAATGCATTGCATCATGTCCAAGGGACTCAATGGCCTTTGTGATGTTCACTAAACAGTTCATCCACAACAGTCGCTCTCAGCACAGAGGTCCTCACCTGCAAGGAACTATACTCATCCGGATGAGATAAAGCGACGAGGTCTGCAACATACGGGAGATCACAAGGTGGCAACTGGAATTCTTTACACACAGAAAACTGGGAAGAGCAGGGGGAAAAAAAAACAAAATTTTATAAAATCTCCAGAAACATGCTGAGTGAAACCTGTTATGTACAATTTATTTTTGTATTAAATATTTCTAAAGCTGAAAAGCATGAGATTCAGGTCTAAATATGAAGAATTTTAATCATAATTTAAATTCATAACTCTCTTTATCCCAAGTTCTCCAACTCATATCACCATGATTCCTTCCTGGTTTTCTATAACATCTTAATTGAAATAAATGGGAGCAGCTGATAATCCACAACGGGGAGGGGGTGTCTGTGCGTGCAGGTACATCCACACGGGTGTGTGGGTTGGGCAGTGATGGTTCCTAGTTGGAATGCCTGTCCACGAGAAAACGCTTGCCTCATCCTGTCTTTTCTCCTAACGCAACATTGAAATGGATGTTGCTTCCCGACACTTTTCATTGCACTTAACTGAACGGGACCATGTTTACTACGCATTAACATTTTACTAAATAGATTGTTTTAAGACAAGGGTAGCATATTTGGTCGGGGACAACTTTTATTTTGGGTTTACAAGCTTAATGTAATCCCCACTGATCAAATTGCTGTCACTGCTCTGCCTGCTGACATGAACTGCTTCAGCTCAGCATCAATCCTTCCCCCTACGAGTGAACAAAGCAGCACAGGAACATGAACAGGCCATTCGACACTTCAAACCTGAATTCAGCATCAGATACTAGACGGACAATTTCCTTATGAATGGATGACAGCATCCAGAGTGAAAGATGGTAGCAGTTATACCTATACATGTCGGGTGCTTTCCCCTGGGTTATAGCACATTATTCCTTCACCATCTCGCCAACTGTTTAGCATAGGACAGTTTGATATTCATGAAAAAGTTCAAGATGACCAACAAACTTATGGAGATCCATGGCTACAGATAGAATAGGTACACGATGGCTGGGTCTGCGGTTACCCACAGCCCTTTCAAGATGCACCTCTGGGGTATATATGAAAGACAAATGAAAAAGTTTAAGTCTATTACAAAAAGGGGTCCATAAGAAAAAGGATGTAAACGCACTAGATGGGGCATAGTGGAGACTCATAAGGATATTGTCAGGACTGGAATAATGCTGTTATGAGATAAGACTGGACGGCTGGGATTGTTCTCCCTGGAACGAGGGGGCTGAGAGGAGATTTGATCAAGATGCCCAAAATTGTGGCGGGCCTGGATACACGGGAAGGGGCTTGTCGTCTAGCAGAAAGGTTGGAGCTAAGAGGTATTGATTTAAAGAGACTGGTGGTAGGATTACATAAGGAAAAATGTTTTCATTCAGAATGTTGTAGGGATCTAGAAATCACTGCCTGATAGGGTAGTAGAGGTAGCTGAATCATTTGAAAACGGTGAGTGGATATGCACCTGAAGTCTTGTAACTTACAGGCTATGAACTAAATGCAAGAAATTGGCATTTGGCTGTGGGGCTCAATTTTCAGCCAACACAGACATAATGGTCATCTTCTGTGTCATAAATTCTTTATGATTCTAAGAAATTTCTAATTGTACATCTTCAGGATGGCCTCAAAACATTTACAACCAATGAAATAAATGTGAAGTGTAGTCACTGTCTTAAGGAAGGAAACATGGTGGCCAGAGTGTGCAGGAACATCCCACAAACAACATCGTGAAATATCAGATGATCTACTCTTGTAACGTTGATTGGAGGATACACACTGGTAAGTACACCAGGAATAGTTTTCCAGGAAGTGCAGTGGGATCATTTATATTCACTTGAGTGAGCAGACCGAGATAAGGTTTAACGTTTCATCTAAAAGAGAGCACCTCTATCAGTGCAGCACTGATGGGTCAAGTTGATTTTGTGCTCAGAACATGGACAGACACTTGAACTGATAATCTTTTAACAACTGGAGATTCAATGGTCAGCAACATGTTGAAACATGGAATGAGTGCTTATTACCTTTGAAATGGGCATCTGGCCAATCTTCCAGACAATCAGTTTTTCACCACAAACCAGCCAGGCCCATCCATTTTCACTTATTTTAACACTTAAAGGTTCATCTGCTAAAATAAAAGGTGGAGTAAATAAGAACATCACTTAGAACAGTCTCACACATATTGTAATACACCTATTACAATAATAGAGCAATACCTTGGCCCCAAAGCCCCTCAATCGCCAAAATTGATGATTTTTTTTCAGCTACATTGAGAAAATCAATTTAGCAGAGGCATCCTTGCGGATGTTTCAGACAGTTTACTAGAATAACATGTTAAGTATCCAACCAAGGACCTGGCTATTTTGGATCTGGTAATGTGTAGCCAAGAGGAAAATTAATAACTGATATCATAATAAAAGATTTCCGAGGAAAGAGTGACCGTAACATGGCAGAATTAAGCATTCAGCCTGGGAGTGAGAAACTCAGGTTGGAAACAACCTACAGATTCAAGAACAGCTTTTTTCCTGCTGTTACTAGACTTATGAATGGACCTCTCATATTAAAGTAGATTTTTCTGGACACCTTCTCTGTAGCTGTAACACTATATTCTGCATTCTGTTCTATTACCCCAATGTACTTATGTAAGGTATGATTTCTCTGGATAGCATGCAAAACAATACTTTTCACTGTTTCTCAGTACATATGACAATAATAAATCAAAACAAACTTGCTGTACTTAAATATAGATAATCACAACACAATGAGGGCCAGGTTAGCTGGAGCAAACTGCGAAGGGAATATAGAAGAAAAGAAGGTTGATGAACAGTGACAGACATTAAAGAAAATAGTTCAAGGCTCAGAACAAAGATATATCCTAGTAAGAAAGGAGGATTCTAGGATGGGGATAATCCAAACATGGCTAACCAAGGAAGACAAGGATAATGTTACAATCCCAGTGATGTTATTCCTGGAAAAATCAGATCTCACATTGAAGCCTGACTTGATGGATCATATTTTAAGTTTTAATTTTATAAAGTGGTCTCTCACTGAAACATTAATACACAATGTGGCAGATTTCACTAACAATAAAACAGAATATTAACAAAAGAAGTGGAAATAAAATGAATAAATGAAACAACAAACTTATAATGGTTTCAAAAAGAGTTTTAAACATTTAAACGGGAATGGAGTATAAAAATCGGGAAGACTTGCTAAAACTGTACAATGCACTCCTACACCCAAGGAAAGATATACTTGGAGCGTTGGCATTGGAGCCAGTCCAGAGAAGGTTTACCAGGTTGACCCCTGTATGGAAGGACAGCCTTATGAGGAGAGGTCACGCATGTTGGGCCTTTACTCAGTTTAGAAGAATGAGCGGCAACCTCGTTGAAACAAGATTCTAAGGGTATTTGACAGGGCATACATAGAAACATTGTTTCCCTTTTTGGGAGAGTCTTAGACCAGAGGGCAAAATCTCAGAATAAGGTTTCGCCCATTTAAGACCAAGTTGAAGAGGATTTTTTTCTCCTCACAGGGTAGTGAATCTGTGGAATTCTTGACTGTAGGGGGCTGATGAAGCTGGGTCACTAAATATATTAAAGGCTGAGATAGACAGGTTTTTAAGTCAGTCAGGGAATCGAAGGTTATGGGGAAAAAGGACAGGAAAGTGCAGTTGAGGGTCATTAGATCAACCATGCTCTTGCTGAATGGTGGAACAGACACAGTGGGCTGAATGGCCTATTTCTGATCCTCCATCTGATGGTCTCAGTTATTGGGCACGTTCAAGATAGAAATTGATCGGTTTCTGGTGAGACACAGGAGCATCTCATCAGTCCCGGGGCACAGCTTCCTGACTCCAGGAAGGTCAACTGTAACAGCTGGAGAGGGACAGATGGCCATTTGTTGGGATATGGGTCAACAGGCACAGGTCAGCTCAAGAGATCTGGATTCTTGAAAGCTAACAATTGGGGTTCAATAACATAATCCACTGTGGTGTCATCACATTGCAATTTAAATCTGACCCTTTTAACCTGCACATCCTTTTGGGGAAGCTCCTTCTCATCAACCTAGTCTCCGAGTCCTCGATGACTTCTACTTGAAATATCCATCAGCATCATCTTAGGGACTGGCTCTGCTGCTCCTATCACATCATAATTATGTCTAGAGCCTCCTTCAGCCTTGGTAAATAAAGGGATAAGGTCACCATAGTCAGTCAGAAGATAGGGCTGCTCTCTTGTTACAGAGATGTCTGATGGTGGTTCAACCTCAGGGTCACCACACCTCAGATGATGGGACAGGTTGAGAAGCAAAGTCCTTCATAGTAATCTCAGCCGGTGTGGGAATGGAACTCACACTGTTAGCATCACTCTGTATCACAAATCAGCCAACCAGCCAAATGAACTAACTGACCCCCTTTTCAGTAAATATCCAGTTATGAAGCACAAGTACTGGCACTGTATGGACCAAACCTTCTATTAAATCAGTGCAGAGGGCTAAACCACCGTCACTGTTGCTGTGCTCAGCCAGTGGTTTCCACTGGGATAACAGATCAGTTTCATCGCCATGACACATCACAAGTTGTCAGGTTAATGAGTGCACTTACCCTGACCGCTGCTTCATAATTACCGCTCATTACAGTGTTATGCCAAAAGCTGACAATGCAGAGTGTTCTGTGTAGAGTCCCTGCTGTGTTCCACTTCATTACTTGGGAAGACGATTGATGCTTATATGTCACTAAAAGGATGACATTGTTTCTGTACCTAGGCTGTCCTTGACAAACAATTCTAAAGGCAGAAATAGTGCAGACGCAACATTTTGCCTGTGGAACTTTGCAGGAGTTCAGTAGATAGTACAGTATCCCTTTAAACATTTAAAAAGCAATAAAGCAAAATTTAACTTTTTACGCTTAAGGTGAAAAGCAAACTTTACTGCCTCAGTGAGTACAGGAAACATTATACTTAGTGATTCAAAAGCTCCAAATCAATTATTTATACACCATTTAGTTGGTTAATAATAAAACAAAAAGTTACCTTCAGCTAGGGTTATGGCCTCCATAACCTTAACAGGAAGAGAAGATCCAAAACTCCTGATTTCATAGTTGAGCGTCTCGCCGACTGTTTGATACTGTGCTCCTCTGGTTGGGGTTGGACTTGAAAAAAAAAGTAATTCCAGTCAAAATTCTCAATCGCTATATTTGAAACAAATGCCATCATACTTGGTCAAAGTATATTCTTACCGTTCAAATTTAGCAAATCAGTCAGAAACAATAGCAAATGTTCGACAAAAAAAAACTCTAATTTCACAGGGCCAAAGGAACACAGAGCTCAGAATGGCTAACTTTTTTTTTTAGTAAACTTCAGACGATTCCAATAGTAACAGCATCTGTGTAATCTCACTGTAATATAAAGAGAGATTAGGGAATACCAGAGAGGTCAAAGACAGACAGATATCATAAACTATTGAGTGAGAAAGGAAACTAAATTTCATTTACAGAGAATCTAAGATAACGTTATTCAAATTCTAAAGAAAAACCAAGTTTGCAATATTGGCGCCAGGATGATAGAATTCAACTTTGCCAGTACAGTGAAACAAATTGTCATGTGAACAATACAAAGTATTTGAGAATATACGAAGTCAACAGAAGTCTACATTCTGTGCTTGAAACTGTTAATGTGCACGACAGCTGAACATTTTTTTGAATAAACTGGTCACTTTACGTCATAACTCTGAAGCTATCATATGCCGAGGAGGAAAACTGAATCCCTCTCTTGGTGATAGTGGTATCTGGAATGTATGATTCCATCAGTACGACTATGTCAGGTTGTTGCTTATTTAATCAATGGAACAACTTTCCAAATTTTGGTACATCTCTCCTGATGGTGGTAAGGAAGAATTTGTGGATCGAAAGGGTTGTGTTTGCGGTTTCTGGTGCCTAGGTCAACATCTTTCTGCGGTACCAAACTCCTGTCACTATGCAAGAGTAGTTTCTTCTCCCTTTCTGTTCTAAAGCACTATTCACTACAAGGGATACTTAAACAGCCTAAAATAAACACCTGTAAACAAATAGTCAATAACCCAGCACCTCTCTCAGAACTCGAAATCTAAACTGTAACTAAAACCATGTTTTCTCCCTTCCTGAAAGTACAAGTCAAACTTCAAGCTCCATTTGGATCTGTTCACTTCAGAACCCAAGTTTCCAAAAGATGATCTATCATGAACCCTCATCACAATAAAGTGATCACTTACTATTTGAAGGTAAAGAGATTAGCTTTGAATTTAGCCGCTGGCACAAACATTACCTAGTCCATTTACAACTAGATTAAATAAGTGAATCACCTCTCAATTTACATCTTCCAAAGAATATGCATGATTTAAATAAATGTTGCACATTATCCAAACTCTCTATTTTCTCAGGAGATAGTAAGAACTGCTGATGCTGGAGTCTGAGATAACACAGTGTGGAGCAGGAGGAACACAGCAGGCCAGGCAGCATCAGAGGAGCAGGAAAGCTGACGTTTCTGGCCTGCTGTGTTATCCCCACTGTGATATGTCTATTTTCTCAACAGTTCTGAATACTCCTTTTGACATCCTTTGAATAGTTGCATTATCCTAAATGTGGATCATACCAATTTATTGAAGCCAGGATTACCTGTTTGTGTGATACTTTCCAATATTGAGTTCCATTTACCATCTGTCAGCATACTTTCAAAACCTCCTACAGCACAACCTGACAAAACCATGCTGGCTTTCCTTGATTAATCCTTGCTTCTCCAAATGAAGATTAACTCTGTCCCACCTCTGATGTTAGGCTCACTGACCTACAGTTCCCTGGTTTATCCCTACCACTCCATTGTACCACATTAGCTGTACTCCAGTCCTCTAGCACCACTCCTATGGCCAGACAGGACTGAAAATTAACGTCAGGACTTCAGCAATCTCCCTCCCCATTGCCTCCCACAGCAGCCCAGGATACATCTCATGTGGGTCTGCCCTGTCTAAAATCCTTCTTACTCTGTCTATACCATTTAATATTGGAAAAGTTGAAATCCCAACGATCATCACCCCTATTATTTCCGCACATCTCTGAAATTACTTCTACCTTTCCCTAATTATTAAAGGGTCCTACAGTACACTTCCATCAGGTGATTGAAGCTACCTCGCTGAATGTTTTTAAGGCAAGGCTAGATAAATTTTTGAACAGTAAAAGGAATTAAGGGTTATGGTGAGTGGGCAGGTAAGTGGAGCTGAGTCTCAAAAAGATCAGCCATGATCTTATTAAATGGCAGGGCAGGCTCGAGGGGCCAGATGGCCTACTCCTGCTTCTAGTTCTTATGATTGCTGCTGTTTTTAAATTCTACCCATAAGGCCTCAATTGAGGAACTAAGAAATCATCCTTCGACAAAACAAAAAGAAAACTCAAAGTGACTCCTTGATCAATACTGCAACATTACCACCTTGTTTCTACCCACTCATCTTTTCTAGATTCTATACCTGAAAATATTGTTGCAGGATTGCATCCTTCTGTCTACCTATGTCCCTGGCATCAATATGAACCATAACCTCAGAAATAGTAAGAACTACTGATGCTGGAGTCAGAGATAACACACTGTGGAGATGGAGAAACACAGCAGGCCTGCTCCTCTGATGCTGCCTGACCTCCTGTGTTCCTCCAGCTCCACATGGTGTTATCTATGAACCATAACCTTATTGTGCACCCCCGACCACACACCCAAAGGCCCTGAAGCTGTTCAGTGACATCCTTGACCCTGTTCCCAAGAAGTTGACACACCATCCTGGAGTCACAACCACAGAAATTGCTCTCTATTAAGTCTTCAACACTACTGCCCTTCCTTTCATAGAATCCCTAGTTCGGCCCAACAAGTCCACACTGACCCATCCCCCTACAACACACCTACTCTCCACATCCCTGAACACTATGGGCAATTCAGAATGGCCAATCCACCCTAACCTGCACATCTTTGGACAGTGGGAGGAAACCGGAGCACCCAGAGGAAACCCACGCAGACACGGGGAGAATGTGCAAACTCCACACAGACAGCTGCCCGAGGGTGGAATCAAACCCAGGTCCCTGGTGCTGTGACACAGCACTGCTAACCACTGCGCCACCATGCCTCCCCTTTCTTTCTGTTCTCCCACTCCTGGACTTGTGCAGAGGTAGCATCGCTCTGACGATTTTCCAGCACAAAATCTGCTCGTGTGTGAGATGCGCCCCGGGGCTTTCTTCATTACACGCCTGCCTCCCCGACTGGTCTTCGTCCATCCCCTGATTGCACTTCCTTATGGTAGGAGGTGACCACATCTAAAAACATGCTCCCCGTGTCCGGATGCACTGTCATGTGACCAGGTGATACTCAAGCTGGTGAAACCTGTGCTCATCAGTAGCATCGAGAAACTCCCCCTTAACGCAGGCTGTACAACATTTAGCACTGAGCTCCCCGATTAAAGTGGTTAGTGTCACATAGTGTTTTGTGGGATCTTGCCGTGCCGGGGATGTGACAGGCGCCGGTCAGAGGAAGCCCTAACAACACTCACCGGCCGCACAGGCTGGAGCGCCAGGACGGAGAAAAAACGCCGCTGGCCGACACATTCCGCCGGCCCTGCACGGGGAAGCCGCCGCCGCTCCGGGTCAGCGGGGACCCAAAGCAACCTGAGGGGGGCCGCTTGGCACCACCAGGAGTTCGCGGGGAAAACATGCTGAAGGTAGCGCCAGCCCCGCTCCCGGGCTCTCCCTCCCCCTCCGGGACCCGCCGTTTAGGCCTCAGGCCTTCCGAACTCCCGCACGCGCCGCCAAACCACTGCGCCTGCGTGACCCGCCAGGCACTGCAGCATCTGATTGGTCACATTTGGGACGTAGACAATATAAACACATTCCTGATTGGTGCGAACTTTACATCCTTTGTAACGGAGGTTCCCATCGGTCAACAGCTGCCGGTGACGCTATCGCCCCGCGATGGCCTGCTGTGTTCATCCAGCTCTACATCAGAGAGAGAGAGAGAACAGTTGGAGAGGCAAAGGAAAGGATAAGTCAGCCCAGGAGAATGTATAGGACTGTTAACTGCCAGCAATGGGTAGTGTGTAATAGCAGACCATGGCATAACAAATAGGAGCAAATTACTGCAGATTCTGGCACCTGAACTGAAAACAACAAATGCTGGAGATCACAGTGGGTCAGACAGCATCCATGGCGAGAAAACTGGAGATTGGCCAATGTTGTCCCCTTGTTTAAGAAAGGAAGCAGGGATAGGAAATATTAGGCCAGTGAGCCTGATGTAAGTGGTAGGTAAGGTCTTGGGGAAGATACTAAGGGACTTACTTAGTAATCAGCAGGAGGTTTCCTTGCCCATGTTTGACGTGAAGCCATGAGACCTCTTGGGGTCCAGAGTCACTGTTGAGGACTCCCAGGGCAACTCCCTCCTACCTGTATACCACTGTGCCCCCACCTCTGCTGGGTCTACCGTGCCGATGAGACAGGACATGTACAGGGATGGTGATGGTGGTATCTGGGACATAGTCATACTCACAGAATCATACCTTACAGACAATGTCAGGCTGTTGCTTGACTAGTTTGTGAGACAGCTCTCCCAATTTTGGCACCGACTCCCAGATGTTAGTGAGGAGGACTTTACAGGGTCAACAGGGCTGTCTCTGCCATTGTCTTTTCCGGTGCCTAGGTCGATGCTAGGTGATCTGTCTGGTTTTGTTTCTTTGAGACTTTGTAGTGAATGGTGCAACAGAATGGCTTGCTAAGCCATTTCAGAGGGCAACTGAGAGTCAACCACATTGCTGTAGGTCTGGAGTCACATGGAGGCCAGACCAGGAGGTGGCAGATTTCCTTTCCTAATTGATATTAGTGAACCAGATGGGTTTTTCCCGACAATTGACAATGATTTCATGACGATCAGTAGATTTTTAGTTCCAGATTTTGTTTTCTTTGCCTGTGACCGGCTCTTGTAGCCAGGGTTTATGTGGCTCGTCCAGTTGAGTTTCTGATCAATGATAACCCCCAGGATGTTGACAGTGAGAGATTTAGTGATTGTAATACTGTTGAATGTCAAGTGACAATGGTTAGATTGTCTCTTATTGGTGATGGTTATTGCCTGGCACAAATGTTACTTGCCAGCTCTTGATGCATTTGAACATGGACTGCTTCAGTACCTGAATACTACAAACATTAGCGAACATCCCCACTTCTGACCTTATGATGGAGAGATCATTGAACCAGCTGAAGATGGTTGGATATAGTACACTACCCTGAGGACCTCAAGCTGAGATGACTGAACTTCAAGAACCACAACCACCTCTCTACATGCCTGGTACGACTCCAGTCAGTGGAAAGTTTGGCCACAATAATGCATTGATTCCAGTTTTGCTCGGGCTCCTAGTGGCTAGAGCGGGGACCAGTGGCCCAGTGTGGAGCATGGAAGCCCCCTGCACTGGAATGCTGCGGAGAGACTGTGATGTTTGTCTTTTTAACTCCGCTTCTTGTTTTTCTAACCATGGTTGTAATATGTATAGCTGTAATGTAACATTTTTTCTTTTTCTACTCTATAACTAAGGATTGTACCTAGGTATCTTTTGTACCTAAAGGTGATGCTGTAAGTGGTGATTTATAAACTTTTCACTGTTCATTTTGAGGGCATATGACAACAAAGCTAATTTAATTTGATTCAATTTAATTGATGCCACACTTGGTTGAATGTGGTCTTGATATCAAGGGCTGTCACTCTCACCGCTCCTCTGGAATTCAGCTCTTTTGGCCATATTTGAATCAAAGGCTGTAATGAGGTTACGAGCAGAATGGCCCTGGCAGAACTCAAACTGCGTGTTCCTCAACAGGGATAGTAGGAACTGCAGATGCTGGAGAATACGAGACAACAAGGTGCAGGGCTGGATGAACACAGCAGGCCAAGCAGCATCATAGGAGCAGAGAGGCTGACGTTTCGGGCCGAGACACTTCATCAGAAAAGGGGGAGGGGAAGGGGGTTCCGAAATAAATAGGGAGAGAGTGGGAGGCGGATAGAAGAGGGATAGAGGAGAGGATAGGTGGAGAGGAAACAAACAGGTCAAAGAGGCGAGGATGGAGCCAGTAAAGGTGAGTGTAGGTAGGGAGTTAGGAAGGGGATAGGTCAGTCCAGGGAGGACGGACAGGTCAAGGGGGCGGGATGAGGTTGGTCGGTAGGAGATGGAGGTGCGGCTTGAGGTGGGAGGAGGGGATAGGTGGGAGGAAGAACAGGTTAGGGAGGCAGGGACGAGCTGGACTGGTTTTGGGATGCGGTAGGGGGAGGGGAGATTTTGAAACTTGTGAAATCCACATTGATACCATTGGGCTGTAGGGTTCCCAAGCGGAATATGAGTTGCTGTTCCTGCAACCTTCGGGTGGCATCGTTGTGGCACTGCAGGAGGCCCAGGATGGACATGTCGTCTGAGGAATGGGAGGGGGAGTTGAAATGGTTCGCGACTGGGAGGTGCAGTTGTTTATTGCGAACCGAGCGTAGGTGTCCCCTCCACCCACAGATCAACGAATACCGCTCACGCTTGGACATAGAGCAGTTTTTCCGCCGCCTCCGCCTCCACGGTTACTTCTTCAACCGTGAACCTAACCCTCCCTCTACTGACCCCTTCTCCCGCCTCCAACACAACCCCTCCTCCTGGACACCACCCCAAGGCCTCCTACCCTCCCTCGACCTCTTCATCTCCAACTGCCGTCGAGACATCAATTGCCTCAATCTCTCCACCCTTCTCACCCACTCCAACCTCTCCCCCGCAGAACGTGCAGCCCTCCGCTCCAATCCCAACTTCACCATAAAACCCGCGGACAAGGGAGGTGCAGTTGTAGTATGGCGCACTGACCTCTACATCGCCGAGGCCAGACGTCAACTCTCCGACACCTCCTCCTACCGCCCCCTTGATCATGACCCCACCCCTGAGCACCAAACCATCATCTCCCAAACCATCCACAACCTCATCACCTCAGGTGACCTCCCATCCACGGCCTCCAACCTCATCGTTCCCCAACCTCGCACTGCCCGCTTCTATCTCCTTCCCAAAATCCACAAACCTGAATGCCCTGGTCGACCCATTGTCTCCGCCTGCTCCTGCCTCACCGAACTGATCTCCAACTATCTAGACTCCATTTTCTCCCCCTTGGTCCAGGAACTCCCTACCTATGTCCGTGACACCACCCACGCCCTCCACCTCCTCCAGAACTTCCAATTCCCCGGTCCCCAACACCTCATCTTTACCATGGACGTCCAGTCCCTCTACACCTGCATTCCCCATGCAGATGGCCTTAAGGCCCTCTGCTTCTTCCTGTCCCGCAGGCTCGACCAGTCCCCCTCCACCGATACCCTCATCCGCTTAGCTGAACTCGTCCTCACACTCAACAACTTCTCTTTCAATTCCTCCCACTTCCTACAGACAAAGGGGGTAGCCATGGGTACCCGCATGGGCCCAAGCTACGCCTGCCTCTTTGTAGGTTACGTGGAACAATCCCTCTTCCGTACCGACACTGGCCCTAAACCCCACCTCTTCCTCCGTTACATTGATGACTGTATCGGTGCCGCCTCGTGCTCCCACGAGGAGCTCGAACAGTTCATCCACTTCACTAACACCTTCCACCCCAACCTTAAGTTTACCTGGACCATCTCTAACACCTCTCTCCCCTTCCTGGACCTCTCTGTCTCCGTATCGGGCAACCACCTAGAAACCGATATTCATTTCAAGCCCACCGACTCCCACAGCTACCTAGAATACTCCTCCTCCCACCCACCTTCCTGCAAAAATGCTATCCCCTATTCCCAATTCCTTCGCCTCCGCCACATCTGCTCCCAGGATGAGGCATTCCACTCCCGTACATCTCAGTTGTCCTCGTTTTTCAAGGACCGTAACTTCCCCTCCTCGGTGGTCGAGAACGCCCTCAACCGTGTCTCCCACATCTCCTGCACCTCATCCCTCACACGCCGTCCATGCAATAAGAACCAAAAAAGAATCCCCCTTGTCCTCACGTACCACCCCACCAACCTCCGGATCCAACGCATCATCCTCCGACACTTCCGCCATCTGCAATCCGACCCCACCACCAAAGACATCTTTCCCTCCCCACCCTTATCTGCTTTCCGGAGGGACAACTCTCTCCGTGACTCCCTTGTCCGCTCCACACTCCCCTCCAGCTCCACCACACCCGGCACTTTTCCCTGCAACCGCAGGAAGTGCTACACCTGCCCCCATACCTCCTCCCTCACCCCCATCCCAGGCCCCAAGAAGACTTTCCACATCAAGTAGATGTTCACCTGCACATCTGCCAATGTGGTATACCGCATCCGCTGTACCCGGTGTGGCTTCCTCTACATTGGGGAAACCAAGCGGAGGCTCGGGGACCGCTTTGCAGAACACCTACGCTCGGTTCGCAATAAACAACTGCACCTCCCAGTCGCGAACCATTTCGACTCCCCCTCCCATTCCTCAGACGACATGTCCATCCTGGGCCTCCTGCAGTGCCACAACGATGCCACCCGAAGGTTGCAGGAACAGCAACTCATATTCCGCTTGGGAACCTTGCAGCCCAATGGTATCAATGTGGATTTCACAAGTTTCAAAATCTCCCCTCCCCCTACCGCATCCCGCCCCCTTGACCTGTCCGTCCTCCCTGGACTGACCTATCCCCTTCCTAACTCCCTACCTACACTCACCTTTACTGGCTCCATCCTCGCCTCTTCGACCTGTTTGTTTCCTCTCCTCTATCCCTCTTCCATCCGCCTCCCACTCTCTCCCTATTTATTTCAAAACCCCCTTCCCCTCCCCCTTTTCTGATGAAGGGTCTAGGCCCGAAACGTCAGCCTCTCTGCTCCTATGATGCTGCTTGGCCTGCTGTGTTCATCCAGCCCTGCACCTTGTTCCTCAACAGGTGCTGCTTGAAAGCACGATTGATGACACCTTTGATCGCTTCACTGATGCGAGTAGACGCATGGGTTGGATTTGTCTCGCTTTGTGGGTACAGGACATGAAATGTTCACTCTGCTCTCTCACCACAGCTGTTGCCGCATCAAAGTTTTCCAGCAATTTTTTTTGTTATGAAAAGTAAAATACAGACTCAATTTAAAATAGGTTAGAAATTGATTGTTTTTATTTTACTGTAAAACTGATACTACAGATTGGGTCAAACTTTTGTGAAGCAATTGAAAATTCATATTTATAAACACTAAGGATTGATTATTCAATCACACTTCATCTATTAATCAAACATTTCACAAAATACAGTCTGTACAGTGATGAGTTTCACCAACTACTTCAAGTGTTTTACTTCATTATCGCAAAGGAATCTGGTATCCCTTGTACCATCTGGAGAAAGTTACAGAACAAATGTGAGACTACTCCGTCCTTTGAAGATGGTTCCCAAAATAGATAAAAAATGTTTTTAAAACTCTGTGGCAAAGAGAAGCTTTGGCCATTTAAAAATCTGCTTTTATCTTTCCCAGAGTCACTGTCAACCTTTCCTTGTATGAGATCTCACACTGAAGACTTGTCCAACAAGGCCATGGAGAAGCTGTATCGATTGTGAAGCAGGCTTCCTCACTCTGTGGCTCACATTTGATACCTTTCACCATTTACTTCAGTGCTACAGCTGAGATCCTGAACACTGTTCAGAATTACAGGTTTCATAACCTATTTAATAGTCAGTGCTGCAGTTAATCAGAACCCAAGGCATTTCTTGGCTGTTTTGACCTGGAGGTATGTTTTTTTCTGAGAGGAGTAACATTTGGGAGCATTATACTTTCAACACAAGTTTTTGGTTGTTTTGTGAAATAGTTTGTTTCTCCACAAGCTTGCGAAATAATCCATCTGAATTTGCAAGGAGTTGCTGGTGGGTACCACACTCAACTATCCTGCCCTGGTCAAGGACTGCAACAGCATCAGCATTCTGGATGGTCGACAGGCGATGGGCAATGATCAGCACAGTCCTTCCTACCATCAATCGGTCCAAAGCTTCCTGCACCAAATACTCATTCTCTGAATCCAGTGCACTTTGGAGAGAAGAAATGTAACAGCAAAATGAACAAGGCAAAACAAAAGTCAAATTAAATAAAATCAGAAAATGCTAGAAGAATACAGGTCTGCAGCATCTATGGACAAAATCAACAGAGCTGAAATTACATAACTTCTTCTGAATTGAGAGGAGTGGAAAATTGTGTTTTTTTAAAATGCATTTGGCAGAGGGGGGAATCGTGTGAATGGAACAGATGATGAGGGAGCCTAGACCAATAGAATAGAATACAGGTGGTAAAGTAGCAAGATTTAAAACAGGTGGAAATGATAGGTGCAATAAGGAGAACATGGGTCCACTCTGCTGAGAGTGAAGCAAATTAGCCACAAATAGGGCACAGTCACAAAGGGGCTGTAATCAAAAAAAGGACAGAAGCCATCCTCTGACGTTCTTAAACACAATGTTGAGTTTTAGAGGCTGTTAAGTACTAAGCAGAAAATGAGGTGTTGTCCCTCCAGTTTGCATGGAGCTTTGTTAAAACACGGTAGAAGGACCAGGACAGAAAAGGGAACACGCCAATATAAAGACCATCGCATTGTGAGCAGTGAATGCAGTGGACTAAATTGAAAGAAGTACAATGTTGCTTCATCTGGAGCGGGTGTTTGGAGCTGTGGAAAGTGAGGAGACAGGTAATGAGAGGACAGGAGTTACACCTTCCATGAGGGGAACAGTGATGAAGTATTAATCAGGGTGGAGGAGCTCCTGCAGACTACGAACATTATACTTTTACACAGAATTATCTGACTGTTATGATCCAAATGAAATTTACATTCATTCAGGAGATTAAGATCAAAGTAAATTTAACTTAGAATAAACTGCTGTCAAGTTACTGAAACCACACAGTTTACAAAAATATATTCTTTCAGATAGGGTGCATAGGATACATTAACACTGATTTAACTGCTTATTTCATTCCCCGAATCCTGAAAATTAGGCCCATTTTATTAAGCCACAACATTTATTTAAATAATTAGTTGGACCAGAGTGAACCTGGGGGTAGAACGGTGGCAGTGAAGTTTCCTGATAAAAGCTTGAGGGGCAGGGCACAGATCAAACTCAATCAGAGCAGCAGCAGCTGAGGAATGGAATGAACCTACACAGAATCCAGAGGCAGAGCTGCTGAGGTGACATAGGGCGAAAAGACTGGCTGGTTGGGGACCAGCTGTAGGGACTGAGTATGTAGTACAGAGAGTGAGACCGAGTGTTAGGAGTTCTTATTTTTGTGGTTTGCAGTTTGTTCGGAATAGAGCGAGACAGATAAATAGAAATCTGATTTTGTGAGTAGTGGATACAGTTGATTACTTTGTTCCTAGTTTATTGTTTGTCGTTGGTAAGGTTCACAATGGCAGGAGAACTTGGCTTTGTGCAGGAGGAGCATTGCAATATGTGGGAAATTAGGGACGCTGATGAGGCCATCTGGGTAGAGTTTAGAAATCAAAACAGGCGATCATTTTGCTGGGATTGTACTACAGGCCTCCCAACAATCCGAGGGAGACAGAAATCACAGGTGTGACAGGAATAGGGTTACAGTAATAAGGGATTTCAACTTGTGTGTTGGCAGCAGTGGCCCAGAGATAGTACCCATCTACCTTCCTTCCTCCCCACACATACTTTAATACTTGCCCCTCATCCCCCAGCACACACTACAAAAAGGGGGACAATCCCTCCTAACCCACAGCCCCCTACTTGCCTGGGTCCAGGATTCCATTCACCCCTCTTTTTGGGACTCAATTCCAGTTCCAGTAGTGCCCATTACCAAGGTCTGGCACTGCTGGAGATTCCAGCAGCTCCAGAGGGGGGAGCCTCTTTACTGACGTTAATCTTTTCACAATAAGGCAATCACAGTTAGACAGGGTGGATTTTTGAAAGTGTATCCAGGAGAGCTTTGGTGCCAGTACATCAATAGAGATAGGACAATGCTAGGCCTAATCTTAGGGAACGAAGCTGGTAAAGTGGTTGAAGTGTCATGGGCAAACATTTGGGGATAGTGACCATAACTCTTAAGTTTCACAATCATTATGAAAAGGGATGAGGATAGTGCAGAAGTTAAGTGTATAAATTGGGGAAGGGCTAATTTCAATACCATTAGAAAGGATCTGGCAAATAAAGGCGGTGAGCAGCTACTTGCAGGTGAGTCTTCATTTGGAAAGTGGGAGTCTTTTACAAGTGCATAGGGCCAGTGTATTCCTCTAAGAATGGAGGGCAAGATCATCAAGTCCAGGAAACCCTAGATGTCAAGTGATAGAGAGCTTGGTAAAGAAAAAGCAGGAAGCATGTACTAAGTACAGAGCACTAGAAACAAGCAAGGCTCTTCAGGAGTATAGGCGGTGGTGGAGGGAACAGGGTGCTTTAAAAAATGAGGAGGACAAAAATGGGCCATGAGAAAGGCATTTCATAAGTATATTCACAGCAAGAGGATTATCAGGCCAAGAGTGGGGCTGATTGGAAACCGATGGGGCAATCTATGCATGGAGCCAGAGACTATTAGTGAGATCTTAAATGAATATCTATCAGCAGGATTCTCAAAGGAGAAACACATTCTAACTGGAGATTTCAGCTGGGATGGTGAAGTTCTACAGTTAAGATTAATAAGTAGGCATTAGATTGGGCATAGCTATTTGATATTTTAGGGGACATAAAGGTGCATAAATCCCCAGGCCTGATGAGATGTATCCCAGGCTGCTATAGGAAGCAAGGGAGGAGATTACTGGGGACCTGGTTGAGATATTTAATACTTTGCTGGCTTCCAGTGAAGTACCAGATGACTGGAGGATAGTTAAATTAGTTCCTTTGTTCGAGAAGGGCAGCAAGGATAAGCCAAATAATTACCAATCAGATGGTAAGATATCATGGTAGGGAACTGATTGGAAAAAAGTCTGAGGGGCAGGATTAATCAACACTTGGAAAGGCAGGGATTGATCAGGATAATCAACATGGATTTGGAGGGAGGTCCTGTCTGAATAATGAGTTTTTTTTTGAAAAGGTGACTAAATATGTTGATGTGGGTAATGTAGTTGATGTGATTTATATGGACGTCAGCAAGCCTTTGACAAGGTCTCACATGGAAGGATGGTCCCAAAAGTTAAGAGCCCATGGGATCCAAGGCAAGTTGGCAAACTGGATCCCAAATTGGCTTGCAAATAGGAGGCATGTTTTTGTGATTGGAAGCCTGTGAGCAGCAGTATACAACAGGGATCTGTGCTGGGATCCTTGCTGTTTGTTATGTACATTAATGACTTGGACAGGTGAACATACAAGGTATAATTAGTAAGTCTGCAGAAAATTGGTGCTGTTGATATTGAGGAGGATGGTCTCAGGCATGATATTGATCAGCTGGTAAATTGGGCAGGGCAAGGGCAGATGGAATTTAATCCTGATAAATGTGAGGTGATGCATTTTGGGAAGTTTAATAAGGGAAGGATATACACAACAAATGGTTGGTCCCCAGGAAGTACTGAGGAACAAAGGTACCTTGGTATTCAAGTCCACAGATCCCGGAAGGCGTCAGCACAGGTAGACAGGTGGTGAAGAAGGCATACAGAATGCTTGCCTTCATTAGCCAGGGAGTAGAATGTAAGAGCAAGGAAGTCTTTATAAAACATTAGTTACGGGCACAGATGGAACACTGCAGTTCTAATCGTCAACTATTGGAAGGATGTGATTGCACTGAAAAGGATGGAGAGGAGATTCACCAGGAAGTTGGCTGGGATGGACAGTCTCTGTTATGAAGAGCCAGCTGGGTTTGTTTTCCTTGGAGCAGAAGAGGCTGGAGGGGGGTATCTCATTGAGGTATACAAAATTCTGAAAGGTACAGGGTGGATTGTGAGAATCTTTTCCCCATGGCAAATGTATCTAAAACCAAAGGGCATGATTTTATGGTGAAGAGTAAGTGGCTTACAGGAGATTGGAGGAAATTTTTTTTTCCACTCAAGAGTGTGATAGAATAATAGAACATGTTACCTGAGAGGGTGGTGGAGGAAGGTACTCTCGCAAGATTTAAGAAGTCAGAAATCACACAACACCAGGTTATAGTCCAACAGGTTTATTTGAAATCACAAGCTTTCAGAGCACTCCTTCACCTGACAAAGGGGCTATGCTCCGAAAGCTTGTGATTTCAAATAAACCTGTTGGACTACAACCTGGTGTCGCGTGACTTCTGACTTTGTCCCCCCCACCAAGTTCAACACGAGCACCTCCACATCATAACATTTAAGAAGCATCTGGATAAGCACTTAAAACATAGGGCACACTATCCTACAGACCAAGTGCAGGTAAATGGAATTGTGGAGTTTGGATTCATTACCACACCATGTCTAAACCAACCAAAAGGCCTCTTTCCATGCTGTATGACTATGACTTTAAATTACTCAAATTCTAAACAAATCAGACTGATTACAGTAGCCAACAGACCAGAGTGCATCTTTTTATTTTTAATTGTTCATGGAATGCAGACACCACTAGCTAGTTTTTGCCCATCTGCAATTTCACAAAGGACAGCTAAGAGTCATGTTGCTGTGGGTCTGACACATCATTGGTTTGTAAAAGAAAGACATTCACTACAGGAGATTCATATTCATTAATCCAGTCCAAAGTACTGAAAACAAATCACACCATTAATTTGCCATGAGGCTATTAATGGAGAAGATCCTTCAGGATTTTTTTTTTTTTTCAATTAAATCATAGGATTTAAGTGTTCCTGGTTCAATCAGTATTTACTGCCCAGCCCCAATTGTGTGGAGATAGTGGTGACTGTTGCACTACCACTGTCCCTGGGGGTGTAGGTAAGCCCGCAAAGCTGTTAGGAAGGGGTTCCTGGATTTTTGACCCTGTTACTGTGAAAGAATGACAGTATATTTCCAAGTTAGGATGGTGTGTGGCTTGGAGAGAAATTTGCAGGTGATGGTGTTCCCATCTATCTGCTGCCCTTGTCCTCTATATGGTACAGGTCACAGGTTTGTGCAGTGCCTCTTGCAGGTGGTACATGCTACTGCCATCATGCGTCAGGAGTGAATGCAGTCTAAGCTAAGTGGTGGATGGTGTGTCAATCAAGCTGCTCTCAACCAGGTAAGTGCAGAATATTCTCTCTCATTCTTGATTTGTGGCTTGTACAATCCTAGACTCTGACCCGCTCTGCTCATAAATATATGGCTCATCCATAAGGAGAAGATTATTGTTGAAACAGCTAAAGATGGTTGAGCTTCAGACACTAGCCTGAAAAACAACTCCAGGGATGTCCTGCAGCTGAGAGTCTGACTTCCAACCTCCACAACCATCTTCCTTTGTGCCAGGTATGACTCAAACCAGCGGAGTATCATCCCCTCATTTTCCATTAATTCCAGTTTTACTAGGATTCTGATACCACATTCAGTCAAATGCTCCAGTGATGCCAAGGGCAGTCACTTTTGCCTCCCCTCAGCTCTTTTGTCCATGTTTGGACCAACGTAGTAATGGAGTTAGGAGCCAACTTGCCCTGGCAGAACCCAAACCATGCATGAGCGCACTGATATTCTAACTGAAACATCTGCTCCTCATACATCTCGTCCAACCTTATAAAGTATATATTAAATCAAACCTCCCTACCATCCCCTTCAGCCACAAGCCATAACAGTTTCTTCAAACTTAGAATTGATCACTAACTAGGAAGAGGCTTTAGAACCCTAAACATGCAATTCAGAAGTGCCATTTCAATTAACTCCCTTTCTAAAACAACATCATTTTTTGGCAGGATTTGCAAACTGAGAAGTTCTTTCAACATCAAGTCTTAAAATCTCTCACCTGGTGGCTTCATCCAGCAGCAGAATTTTGGGATTCTGAAAGCAGAAAGAATTAGAACTTAAAAATCAAAAAACTGCAGATGCTGTAAATCAGAAACAAAAACAGAAATTGGAGGTAAAGCTCAGCTGGTCTGGCAGCATCTGTGGAGAGAAATCAGAGTTAACGTTTCGAGTCGAGTGACCCTTCCTCAAAACTCAGAATTATAACTTATCAGTTAACTCTCTTGATACTCTACAAAATAATTAGACATGTCTATTATCAGGAAGAAAGCTTATGAACAGCAAAGAGATTTAAATTTCTCACAGGTAAAGCTGGCAATTAGGAATAGACATAAGTCACAAAGTGAATCACTGATAGAGGTAATGATGGTTAAATGACCAAAGTTCAAAAGATTGTAAAAATGCCTGAACTGCAAACTTCACCTCTCAGAATTTCTCAATTTTATACAGTGTTTATTGAAATATTATTTTTACATACCTTCAGCTGATCTACAGAGATTGGGGGTATTGAAGAGTGGGAGCAGGTTATCAAGGGCCTTCTGCATGGCCTTCAGGTGCTATTTGAAAAATAAGAATCAAAATTGAGCACAGGAGCCTCACCTTGAGCAGAGCTCGAGCAATTGCAACCCTCTGTTTCTGACCACCTAACAAAGAGGTAGGACAATGAGAATTAGAGGAGTGAGTATCATTCCATTGCAGTCTCAGCAAACAGCAGATGAGATACCCCAAACCTAGTTAACTCACCTGAGAGTAAGATACCTTTCTCACCAACCATCGTTTGGAAGCCCTTAGGGAAGCTGCGGATAAATTCATAGGCGTTGGCAATCTTGGCAGCCTTTTCTATGTCTTCCATCGTCAGTTCAAAGGGCTGGGCTGCCCCATATGCAATATTCTCTGCAATTGAGCAGGAGAATAGAACTGGTTCCTGAGTACCAAAAATAACCATAACATTAAAGCCCAATGGCTTCAAACACAATTGAATGCTATCAGATTCTTCTACTACATTTTATCCCCCCTATTTGGACCCCAGATTTTAACCAAATCCTTCTACCCATTTTACCTGATTCACTGCACCCATATTTTTCCGCAACCAGAATGGATTGAGACTCCGAACATCATGCCCGTCAACAATGACAGTGCCTGAAACAGAAATATAGGGCTCAATAAATCCTTATCGCTTTACATGATGGATTCCCATTCACTGTTGTATTACTCTTAGAGTATTGCAGGGACAGAAAGCAAAGCAATCCTGCTCAAATTGTCCATCAGGATCTCTCCAGGAAACATTTCAGAATCATTAGTCATGTAAAATCCTGCATTGTATCCAATATTACCTGAAACAGGGTCATATAGTCTGAGTAACAATGACATTAGTGTCGATTTTCCTGAGCCACTGGGTCCGACTACAGCCATCACGGAGCCTGCTGGGATAGACAAGTCAAGCTCGCTGAACACTTGAGTCTCTGGTCGGGTTGGGTAGGCAAAAGTGACTCTGCGAAATTCAATGGCACCCTTAAACTGATCAGGCTGCAAAATCATACCCACTAAAAGAAAACACAGAAATAGACTCCTTAAAAAACAAAAGGCAACCAATTTCACAGATTTTACAAAACCTGAAATTTGACATTGTCATTTGGCTGACTGACATTCATAAAAACAGAAAATAGCAGTTGGGTGCTTTAAGCTTGCTTCACAGCTCACAGCTGACTAATTATCCAACTAATTACCCAGTTCCTGCCTTGGTCCCTTTAGTCCTAAGAACTATATACAACTTCTTCTTGAAAACATTTGATGTGTTGACCTCAACCACATTCTGTGGCAGTGAATTCCACAGGCTCACGACTCTCTGTGAGAAGAGAGTTCTCGTCATCTCAGCTCTAAATGGCCTACCCTGTATTGTTAGACTGTGACCCCTGGTTCTGGACTCTTGTCACTGGGAACATGTTTTCTGCATTTACCCTGTTTGAATTTTATAGGTTTCTGAGAGATCTCCTGAACTTCAGTGAATACGACATTAACAATCCAATCTCTCTTCATACATCAGTCCTGCCATCCCACGAATAAGTCTGATAAAACCTTTGCTGCAATCCCTCCATAACAAGAGCTTCCTTCCCCAGATAAGGAGATTAAAAACTGCACGTAATATACCAGGTGTGATCTTATCAAGACCCTGTTCAATTTCAGCAAGACATCCCTGCTCCTGCACTCAAATCTTCTTGCTGTGAAGGCCAACACATCATTTACCACTTTCTTCACTACCTGCTGCTCTCAGTGACTGATATATAAGAACATTTAAGTCTCATTACGCTTCCACTTTCCCAATCTACTGCCATTCAGTTAACAGTCTGCCTTTCTGTTTAGGTCTCATTGCGCTTCCACTTTCCCAATCTACTGCCATTCAGGTAACAGCCTGCCTTTCTGTTTTTGCTTCTCTTAGCAACACAGTCAAAATCAGGCTGGGAAGGGTGCAGTTGGCAGGGTGTCTTGCAGACAGACACATTTCTTTGGAAGTCCTCACTTCCTACTCACTTGCCAGCTGCAAGGTACTTTCAAAATGTGTTGGTACAGTTGATTTTAAATCAATGTAACATCGAGAAGGACTTTACAATTTGTCTTTTGGGCCTGTTGCATGTTGGCCTTCAATTGCCAATCACAGACAATGACCTCAGCAGACACACATTCACTGTTGCAGGTTACAAGCGCCAACATCCACTGGTTGTTTTTCTAAATGGCCTCAATGAGTGGGTGCTGACAGGATGGAATCTGTTTTAAAATCAGAGGCTCCTACTAGTTCTGTTCTCTTCCAACGTTGCCTTTGTGATATACTGTTTCAATATGCTAGACGATCAGACTTCAGCTGCTACATGACTGCTCATCTTCACAACCGAGTTCTTAGCTGCACTGTTAGCAGAATCTGAACAACAATGGAAAAGGTCATCTGAAAACCGACACCTGTTGTCAGAATGGTGCTCACTGACCCTGATCAGGACACATGTTCTAAGTTCTCTGCTGTATTGGCACCGACCATCCTGGACTGTGTGTGTGCACATGCCAGGGACTATGCCTACACATAGCACGTCAGCACAAGGCTTCACAAAGATGCTTTGGATGGACCCTTCAAATGGGCAGAGCTACTGACCGTTCAGCGCCATCTCCGGTTTTCTCTCGTATAGTTCCCATAATCGCCCTCCTGCTCCAAGACCCTTCATTAAGGCAGAATAGAAAGAGCTGAGGCCTGAAAAGAAAATAACAATATAGAACTGAACGTGACTCAATACAATTCTACCTTCAGAAACTGCTCTTAAACAACAAATGCTCATTGATTGCCCTGACCTCAGGACAGGTCTCAGTAAGTGAGAAGCTCAGTAATAATCTGCCCGCTGAAGCAAGTTTGCCAATACAACTTACTTCTGATCATTTAAAAATTTCTGAATTGCACTGGAAATCAGAAACAAACTTATTATCCACTTAAAACCAAGCATGGCATTCATGGGAATGTGCCACTGTGTTGAAGTAAAACACCTCCAGCTCCCAGGTACAGGAATAGATTATGTTACTGGACTAGCAATTCAGATGTCTGGACTAAGGACCCAAAGATTCAAGTTCACATCTATCCATGGCTGCTTGAAAATATGAGTTCAGTGTAACATTCTTGAAATAAAAACTCCGCATTAGTAAAAGAGACCATGAAGCTGTTTAGTTGTTGTACAACATCAAACTGCATCACTTAATGTTCTTTTCTGACTGATATTTCCTGTCCTTATCTGTCTGACCTTTGTATTACTTGACCATACCTTGTGGACCCTCTGAAACAAGGCACTGTTATGTACAGTCTGACTTCCTTTAGAGTGCCTCATTAGAATCAGCCTCCACCACATTACTCAGGCAGTAGACTCCATTCCCAATCATTGCTACATAAAAAGGTTTCCCTGGCATCACTTTGCTGTTTTCCACAAATTACTTTACATCTGCAGATGCAGCAGATATAGACACACAGGCCCTGGTGTAGTGGTCCAAGTTAAATATCAGAATAAAATCAATTATCACTGCTTGTACCCAGAAATTTGTCTGTATACAATTTATACCCAGAGGCTTTTCGCCTTCTGCTTCTGGCTGTTATAAAGTGAACTGAGAAACACCAACTGAGCCCTTCACGTCAATGTATTGGGTATAACAAACCCATTGACAAATTGGCTTCATTGGCATCATCTGTATCCCATCCAGAGTAAATCTTAAAAAGTCATCTGCTTTAAAATAGCACAACGTACTCACATGATAGCAACACAATTCCGAGAAGTTACACACTAAGGTGAAACCCCACTTTTCCCCAGCTGAAGTTCTCCACCCACTCCCAGAGACTCACCTCCAACAAAGACTCTATCTTGCTACTTTCCAGAAGTATATCTATAACTTCAATCTATTCATAACTACTCCTTCAAATGACCTTCCCTGGTGAAAACTCACTATCAAAGACCATGATCTATCCAAAAAGACACACAGTGACAATTTGTTAAAGTTTGTTTCTTCAACAAGTGTTTTCTTTTGTCCCTCCACCAAAAAAAAACCTCTGACTGAGGTGAATGACAGCAACAGATGGGATTGTCACCTTGTCCAAGTCACATGCCATCAGCCTGGAACTCCCTCCTTGACAGCACCACTGAGTGTACAAACACTAAAAAAAGTTTGAGTAATTCATTGCAATCACTCAGCACCACCTTCTCAAGGCCAATTAGGCACAGGCAATTATTGCTGGCCTCGTCAGCACAACTCCCTTTCTGAAAAACAAATTATACTAAAGAGAAACTTCCTTAACATTTCCACAAAATCCACAATCCATAAAACTGGAACTTTACCTCCAATACTTATTCCCACCCAGAAGGCATACATCATAAAAGACGTGAGTTCTCCCACTGTCATGTAGGCATCACCCATCATCAGGCCTCCCTTGTACAGGACAGACAGAACAATCAGGTTTCCAGTTAGACCAGTCTGAAACAGAAAAATAAATCTCAAGATTAGCATCCCCATTTAGTTCCATGTTATTCCACGCAAAACTGAGGATGCAGGTATAAGTAAAATAAAAACTTGAATAATCTACGAGGTGACTGGTATCTATACAACTCTTCAAGGGTTAAATTTATATATTGGATGGGGAGTGCAGCTATAAGGCTTGTTCAGTGGCCACCCTTGGGGGAACCGGGCACCCAAAGTGACCTAAAGCGATAAGGCACTTTACCAACCACCCTACAGTGACCAATTTTTCATTTTAACAAGTGGATCACCTCAGAAAAACTTTAAGACTCTTTTGACAGCAACACAAGTGCTCAGTAAATAGTGAAGAACACCAATCACATGACTGCAAGAATATTGCTAAAGGCAAGCAAGAAGAATTGGAAACAAAAACAATTTGCTGGAAAAACCCAGCAAGTTTGGCAGCATCTACGGCAAGAAAGCAGCATTAATGTTTCAGGTCCAGTAATCCTTCTTCAGAATTGGTCTAAAGGAAGGTCACTGGACTCAAAACGTTACTTCTGCTTTCTCTGCACAAATGCTGCTAGACCTGCTGGGTTTCTCCAGCCATTTCAGTTTTTGTTTTCTGATTGGCAGCATCTGCAGTTATTTTCGTTTTTAGGAAGAGGTGAAGGTGGCTTACTTGGACACCTTCAAGCAACTCCAAGACTGTCCACTCTTCCCAGCTGAAACCTTTGCACATTATGAGTCCAGAAAAACTACCAGATTACTATGGTAGTACAGGACTGAAACAATCATGGAAAGTAAGTACATACCAAACATCTTACAGTGCTCTGTACATCAGCTGATGTGTAGCAGCTAGAGAGTTCGGCACAAACACTGAACTGTCTGATCAATTGATTCATTAAAGGAGTGTTGTGGGGGATAGGCAGCATTAATAAACAGATGAATCAACTGGAACAATGAGAGTGCAGAATAAATAATGTTAAGTGCTGTGCTTTGAAAGAACACCAAGCATAAGGAGATGAGAGAGAACGTGCACCCGTTGATAATGGGACAAGAGGAGATGCAGTTACATCTGTGCACTAGCTTTTGTTGTCTTCTACCTGGATACTCAAGTCTCTTATTAGAGAGATCAGAAATAAAAAGACAAAGTTGTTCCGCTGTCCAAACAGATCATAGCTGATCTTCCAGCACTATGCAATCTTTCTCCACAATCTCCATCTGCTTTATGATATTGGCAACCAGAAACCAATCAATTTCTATCTTGAGCATGCTCAATCATGGAGACCATCAGAAGGCAGAGCAGAAGTGGAAGCGTTAGTGGTGATCTTTCAGGAATCACTAGAGTCAGGGAGGGTCCCAGAGGACTGGAAAATGGCTAACGTGACACCCCTGTTTAAAAAGGGAGTAAGGCAAAAGATGTAAAATTACAGGCCGATTAGCCTATCCTCAGCCGCGGGTAAGATTTTCGAATCCATTGTAAAGGATGAGATTTCTGAATATTTGGAAGTGTAAAGTAAAATAGGGCAAAGTCAGCATGGTTTCATCAAGGGGAGGTCATGCCTGACAAATTTGCTCGAATTCTTTGAGGAAGTAACGAGCAGGGTAGACCAAGGAGAGCCAATGGATGTTGTCTAGCTGGACTTCAAGAAGGCCTTTGATAAGGTGCCACACAGGAGGCTGCTGAGTAAGACAAGGGCCCATGGCGTTAGAGGCAAGGTGCTAGCATGGATACAAGATTGGCTGTCTGGCAGAAAGCAGAGAGTGGGGATAAAGGGGTCTTTCTCAGGATGGCAGCCAGTGACAAGTGGAGTTCTGCAAGGGTCAGTGCTGGGACCACAACTTTTCACTTTGTACATTAATGATCTAGATGAAGGAACTGTGGGCATTCTGGCTAAGTTTGCAGACGATACAAAGATAGGTGGAGGGACTGGTAGTATTGAGGAGGTGGGGAGGCTGCAGAAGGATTTGGACAGGTTAGGAGAGTGGGCAAAGAAGTGGCAGATAGAATACAATGTGGGAAAGTGTGAGGTCATGCACTTTGGTAAGAAGAATAAAAGCGTGAACTGTTTTCTAAATGGGGAGAAAATTCAGAAGTCTGAAGTGCAAAGAGACTTGGAAGTTCTAGTCCAGGATCCTCTCAAGGTAAACTTGCAGGTTGAGTCAGTAGTCAGGAAGGCAAATGCAATGTTGGCATTTATTTTGAGAGGACTTGAATATAAAAGCAGGGATGTACTACTGAGGCTTTATAAGGCTCTGGTCAGGCCACATTTGGAGTACTGTGTGCAGTTTTGGGCCCCATATCTCAGGAAGGATGTACTGGCCCTGGAGTGGGTTCAGAGGAGGTTCACAAGAATGGTCCCAGGAATGGAAAGCTTAACATATGAGGAACGTTTGAGGGCTCTGGGTCTATACTCATTGGAGTTTAGACGGATGAGGGGGAATCTAATTGAAACTTTCAGAATACTGAATGGCCTGGACAAAGTGGACGTTGGGAAGATGCTTCCATTGGTAGGAGAGTCTAGGGCCCAAGGGCACAGCCTTAAAGTAAAGGGAACATCTTTTAGAACGGCGATAAGGAGAAACTTCTTCAGCCAGAGAGTGGTGAATCTATGAAATTCACTGCCACAGAAGGCTGTGGAGGCCAGGTCATTGAGTACATTTAAGACTGAGATACAAGGTTCTTGATTATCAAGGGGATCAAGGGTTACGGGGAGAAAGCAGGAGAATGGGGTTGAGGAACTTACCAGCCATGATGGAATGGCGGAGCAGACTTGGTGGGCCATCTGCTCCCATGTCTTATGGTCTCTTCTACTCTTCCTGCCAAAGTAGAAAACCTCACAATTTCCCACAGTATATTCTATTTGTTAAGATTTTGCCCACTTGCTTAACCTGTCTGTATTCCCTCTGAAAACTCTTTGTATCCTCCTCATCATTTGTATCCAACTTATTTTTGTGTCATCCGAAAACCTGGCTATATACATTCACCTTCCTTATCTGAGTCATTCATTTAATTATAAATGTTTGTGGCCCCAGCACTGATCGCTTTGATATTGCGCTACTTACAGTTTGCCATCCTGACAATGATCTTGTTATCCCAACTCTGTTTTCTATTGGCTATATAATTCTCTATCCATGCTAATACACTACCGCCAACACCATGGGCCCCTACCTTACCAAGTAGCCTAACGTGCAAGACCTGATCAAATGCTCTCTGGAAATGTGATGTCCCTCTGGTTTGGCTGATTCCAAAACTTCACCGCCATTTGTCTTAAATAGCTTATCCTACCCCTTATTCCTCCGAAGCCAGTGATCTCTTGCTCTGTTCAAAAATGCAACATTGCATTCCATCTGCCGCTCTCACAGTTTTGCCAAATCAATTAATCTGTCTACGTTCCTTTGTTACTCCATACTTTGTTAAAATAGGAATACAGGAACAGTAGTAGGCTATTCTGCCCCTCAAACCTGCACTGTCAATCAATCAGATCATGGTTGATCTGTGGCCTAACTGCATATACCCGCTTTGGGCCCATATCCTTAATATGCTTGTTTAATACAAAAGTCTATCTCAAGTTTAAATTAACAACTGAATTAGCCTCAATCTCCATTTGAGGAAGAGAGTTCCAATCCTCCACTACTACTTGTGTGTAAAATTACTTTCCAACATCTTTTCTGATTGGCCTGTTCTCCAGCAGCCCTATACAAGAGTGTTAGCTATCCTCTCAGAGATCAGTTTGATTTACTCAGAGCTAAAGAATTCAGTGAGGTACATTTCCTGCCCAAGGCTTTACCTTTTTATTGATAAGAATATCTGCTGGTAACTACCTTCCTGGTAGTAACATTATAATCCAGCACAGTAGTTATACATTACTCTCTATTATATATGCAACTGGTTAAGTTCAACCACACTGTATCTACATTACTTATTTATTCTTTTACTTTGTGCCTGACATCAAGTTTAAAGTAATGTTATTTTGTCACTCAGGTGTATAGTGTTCTGAAAATGAACCTTGTAACGTAGGAACTAAATCTCAGGAGCTGGGATACACCACTTGAGATAAACTGAGTCAGAAAGGCTAAAGGACAGTGCTCAAAATTCTAACAACACTGTACTTACTGCACCATAAAACCCTGCGCGAGCCACTGCTTCTTTCCTGGCCAGCTGCAACACTTGGCTGATCTTTTCAGTATACGTCCGCAGTTCAGACTCTTCCTTGGCAAAAGCACGAACTGTCCTGATGTTCCCAATGCGCTCTTCAGCAAGCTGTGAATGGGTGGGAGAAAGTCAAGCTCACATAGAATTTACAAATTTTATTTGGAATACCACCTGGGAAAACAGAAGTTTGAACACAAATGTGTAGCAGGAAAGATACCAGTTTTTTTTTAATATAATCAGATTGAAGAAGAAAAGTGGGAATTATATGTGGTTCAGTTATTGATTACACAAGGCCATGAAAGTTTTGAGAGAAGTTGGATTAATTTTTTTTGAGACAGACGATCAGGCACCAGATGCCTTTAGGTTGAAAAACTGCCCAGTAACAGCTTTTGGATCATTAAGTTGCAGTTCATCACAGAACTGAGAATGAGCAGATGCATGCAGACATGTGGAAAGTCTGCAAGCCAAAACACATCCCTCTTCCTCACCCTCTGAAATGGTGAAAGGAAACCAGCACTTAAAGAGTAAAGCTTCTGACTCAAGCAAAGATCTAGGTTCAACTGATTGATGGCAGGAGATTCTCAATTCAATAGCCAATGTGATATCAGTGCCAAAAACTGAAAGAATTGTGACAAAAGTCATTGTATGGTTTGGACTCTCTGTCCACAAAATTTGTCCCTTTTTGCCTATGCTTCCACTCACAAGATGCCTGCAGAATTGTGTTTTGTCTATCCTATTTGAGTGTGTGTGTTTGGGTTTTAAGGGGATATTGTTTAAATTTGTGTAGTAGTAAATAATTTGTCACTTGTGAAAAAATAAATAGGTTTTGTTTCAGAGATAGTAGGAACTGCAGATGCTGGAGAATCTGAGATAACCAGGTGTACAGTTGGATTTGTTTTCTTGTTTACTGATAAACCTGGTGAGAGTTTCATTTATCTTAGACAGTGGTCGAACTCAGGCAAATTTTAATAAATCAATTGGTCATTTATACATTTGTGAGAGCTCACAAAGTAGTGGGGCTTGATTACTAGTGTGCTTTTTCCACAAAAGTCATAACACTACACATGTACAGTCAGAAGTTAGCCAGCTTCTATCAGGCTCCATTCAATACACCACGTAGTTTCAGATTTAATCCCAACAGCATTAACCAACTACACTCTAGACAATACGGCAGAATTTCTCAGCCAGCCAGAGATTGCCAGTCCCAATAAGGGTACAGGCAAAGATTAGAGTCTGGTGTCCAAATCCATCCAACAATCCACTGGAATTGAATCAGGAGAGCTCACAGATCATTCATCAGCCAGGCAGGTGATACAAATCCACAATAACTATACACATTTTCTCATCACTTTCACTGGAGTTCAGAACAAGGGGGGGGGGGGGGGGGGGGGGGGGGGGGAATCTCAAGGAAACTGATAAAATTCTAACTGGACTAAACAGAGTGGATGCAGAAAGGATGTTCCCAACGACTGAGAGGAGGAGAAATTTCTTCACCCAGAGACAGTGGTGAGCCTGTGGAATTCACAACCACAGAAAGCAGTTGAGGCCAAAACACTGCATGATTTCAAGAAGGATCAAAGGATATGGAAGAAAAGCAGAAAGAGGTTAATGGTGTATTGATGATCGAATGGCAAAGCTGGTTCAAAGGGCCAAATGGCTTACTCTGCTCCTATTTTCTATGTTGAAAGGAGACGGGCAATGAAGGAGTCAAACATAAACTAAGATGAGCCAGCAGTTTTGTTCTGCTGCTAGACTGAAATAAAGCAATTTGGACACAAGGTTTCTGACAACGGTATCGCAAGAAAAGGATAAATTGCTCCTCTTAGCTGATCCTAAAACATTTTTGGATTAATACATCCTGAAGAATCTCAATGTAATATTTCACATTACATTACAGTAATTGTTAAATTGTCTCCTGGGATTCCTTGCTGTACATTTCCTATTGCCTTTCTGAAGGGAAGATGTTCAATGGGATTAGATTTGACATTGAAATGTAGGATATTGCATTTTTTAATTTGCAACATGATGTTTGGGAGGTAGCATACTTGGAAGAACGAGGTGACCTCCGATTTATAATTCACTAAGCCCTCTTTTTAGGGTTTATCTTTTCTTGTGTGATACTGTTTGAACTAATTGATCAGAGATTGATTGCTTATGATTAGTTCGAATATAAATTCTGGTTAGAGCATTTGAGTTTCAGATGGTAGAACAAGGACTAGATTGATCATGGTCTTCTTTCAATCTCCAGTGATTCCACTTCCTGTTTTCAGGCTTATCGGGTTATTTGACTTCATGCCCTTCCGATCACTCTTAAATCTGAAGAATACGAAATCTGCCTTGTTATTGACTGGTGGGGAGATGGTATTAACTGCTGTCATACTCCCAAGCTAGCTTTCAGAATCCAGTTCTGAAGTCAGACTCCGCAGAACTACAAACCCTACAGAGATCAGTGGAGAAGCTTATCTTGTAGGTCCAGATGATGTTCTTGCAGGTCCAGATGATGTTCTTGCAACAGTTCTGAAGTGAACTGATAAAAGATCACTAGTTGAGACAATCAAAGATTGGTCTAGGCGGGTTTGCAGTTAAGTAACCAAGACAGTTATCTAGAACCTGCCAGTACTGCATCAACTGTCAATCCAAGAACTGGAGCTCCCAGTCTCAAACTTTACATCCTTGTACTTAGAGTTATATTTACAGATGCTGATATTTGAAAGGACAACATTTTGTTAATTTAACCAAGCTTAATAAAGGGTGGTATTTCAATGTTCCAAAGCAGATATTAGTTGCATGTGTTCAGCAGTCTGTTACAGTTCATTCAAAAATGCAATAAGCCTATTGCTGTGATCTGAAAGAGAGGCAACTGCAGCAGAGATCCCAGGACAAAGGACTGGCTAACAACACAAGCGAAGAGTAGGATTAAAAGGATCTTTTTCAGGATGGCAGCGAGTATCTAATGGAGTTCCACAAAAGTCAGTTTTGGGATTGCAACTATTCTTGTTATACATTAACGATCTGGGCAAAGGAACTGGAGGCATTGCTGCTACGTTTACAGATGACATGGAAATACGTGGAGGTACAGGTAGCGTTGAAGTCGTGGAAAGACTGCAGAAGGACTTCGACAGGCTAGGAGAGTAGGCAGAAAGAAGTGGCAGAGAGAAGACCATTTGGGAAGGTGTGAGGTTATGCATTTTGGTAGGAAGAATAGAGGTGTAGGCTGTTTTCTGAACTGGGAAAGGCTTTGGAAATCAAAAGCACAAAGGGATTTGGAAGTCCTAGTTCAGGATTCTCTTAAGGTTAACATGCAAGTTCATTTGGCATTTGGTAAGATAAATGCAATATTAGCATTCATTTCAAGAGGGCTAGAAGTTTTGGGCCCTGTATCTAAGCAAGGATGTGCTGGCAACAGAGGGGTTCCAGAGAAGGTTTACAAAAAATGAGGTTAGGGATGGAAGGCTTGACATATGAGCAACAGTTGGGGACTCTTGTGCTTGTAATCAATGCAGTTTAAAAGACTAAAGATGGATCCCATTGAAACTTAGAATACTGAGCTGCCTGGATAGAGTGGATGTGGGGAAGATGTTTCTAGTAGTCGGAGAGACTAGGCAGTGGCGGAGGCGAGTTTGGTCTTAGTACGAGACCCAGATTTGGCAGCAGCTACATTGGCAAGGTGGGCCCGAAGCAGATTCATGGAAGCGCAGGTGAGTTTGGGCTGGTGTGGTACCCAATGGCACCTGCACTGGCATGGTCGAGTGAAGACTCAAAGTACTGAGGACTTTGGCGGAGGTAAGATGGCGCCGAAAAGTAGTGACTTTCATTCTAGCAGCTACACGCAAAGGGGACTTGTGCCTGGCCACCAGGAGAACCTAACAAGATGCACGGTAAAGCTGAACACTCTTTCTCTATTTCGTTATGTGCTGCTGTTATATTCAATGCTTTGGTTTAATTTTGTGTTTTAAGAGGGCGCTGGAGAGTGACAACACTATATAACACTTCTCACTGTATTTTATAACAAAATACATGTGACAATAAATCAAGTAAAATCCAATTCCTTCAGCCAGGGGGTAGTGAATCTGTGGAACGCATTGCCAAAGATTGTGGAGGCCAAGTCATTGAGTGTATTTAAAAGAGACAGATAGGTTCTTAATGAGCAACACGATCAAGGGTGAAGGGGAGAAAGCAAGAGAATGAGGTTAAGAAACTTATCAGCCATGACCGGCTCGATGGACCATTTGGCCCGATTCTGCTCCTGTATCCTACAGTCCAACTGTCATTTATTCTAACCTATGTTTCTTGGGGCACTATTTCCAGTTGCTCTGCCTTGATTGCCACTGAACCCCAGGTTCTGTTTTAATCAGGAGAGTAGAGATATGCGACGGGCACCGTATAGCTCATGTTGTGGACTTTGAGACCCAGACAAGAGATCATGCAAAATATTCCCATTGCTGCATTAAGGGAAGTGCTGTGGGTTACAGGCTTTCCAATGAGGCATTGAACCGAGGCCATGTCTCCTCCTGAGGGTATAAAAGACCCATGAGACTATTGCAAACAAGAGAGAGACATCTTTCTCATATCCTGGTCAATATTTATCTCGCAACCAGCATAAGCAAACACAGAATATCTTATCATTATCATATTATCGTTTATAGGATCTTGCTGAACATCAATTGGATGCCGTGTTTCCTTAATCAGAGTGTTGAGTTTGAGTTTGAGTTTGAGTTTGAGTTTGATTTTATTACTGTCACATGTACCGAGATAGTGAAGTGTTGTTTTGTGTGCTACACAGGCAAATTGTACTACACAAAGTGCATCAGGGTAGCAGAACAGAGTGCAGAATACAATGTTACAGCTGCAGTGAAGGTGCAAAGAGAGATCAACATTAGCATTTGAGAGGCTCATTAAAAAGTCTGATAACAGCTGGGAAGAAGCAGTTCTTGAATTTGTACGGTGTAGTCAAACTTTTATATCTTCTGCCCCATGAAACAGGGTGGAAGAGAGTACAAGCAGAGTGGGAAGGGTCTTTGATTATGTTGTTGCTTTCCCAAGGCAGCAGAAAGTATAGATGGAAGGCTGGTTTGCATGACATGTTCACAACTCTCTGTAGTTTCTTGTGGTCTTGGGGAGAGCCGTTGCCATACATGCTTTGATGCATCCAGACAGGATGCTTTCCATGGTGCATCTATAAAAATTGGTAAGAGTCTTTGTGGACATGCCGAAGGAAGTAGAGGAATTGTTGTGTTTTCTTGACAGTCACTTTGCTGTAGGTGGACCAGGACAGACTGTTGGCGATCATCACTCCCAGGAACTTGATGTTCTTGACCATCTCCACCTCAGCACCACTCATGCAGATAGAGGTGTGCCCTCCACTCCACTGCCTGAAGTCAATGACCAGCTCCTTCCTTTTTCTGACATTGAACAAGAATGCGTTGTCTTTACACCACGCTGTTAAGCACGCAATCTCTTTCCTGGAGTGTGTCTCGTCGTTGTTTGAGATCCAACCTACAACGGTGGTTTCATCAGTAAACTTGTAAATAGAATTGGGGTGGAATTTGGCCACACAGTCAGGAATGTATAAGGAATATAGCAGGTAACTAAGTACGCAGCCTTTCAGATAATGGTGTTGTTGTTGCCTATTCTTACCCATTGTGGTCTATGGGTCAAGAGGTCGAGGTTTCAGTTACAGAGGGGAAAGCCAAGACCTAGATCTGAGTTTGTTTGGAATTACATTGTGGAAAATGGAGCTGTAGTCAATAAGTCGGAGCCTGAGAAGCAGTGACAATGCTTTATATATACTTAATTGGCAGAAAAGTGCTGTATGATTTTCAGAGCTCGTGAGAGTTAGTATAAAAGTGTATAGTGTAAGATAACAAGGTGTAGAGCTGGATGAACACAGCAGGCTAAGCAGCATCAGAGGAGCAGGAAGGCTGACGTTT